TGAAGGTGTATAAAGAATGTATAATACTTTGGTTAAAGTTTAGATGTCTCAATTTAAATCAGAAGCTGAAAAAGCAAAGTTTTATAAAAAATAAACTTAACTCATAGTTAATAAATTGTTATATAAGATTAAATAAAATGATATTATAATTAATGCAAGAGTTGTAACTTAAGATAAATTAAGATTAGAAACACATGAATTTCATGAAAAAATAAATTAAATTAAATAATTAACAGATTAATTGTTAAAAGAAATTAATGATTTAAAAGATCCTAAAACTTAAAGTAGTCTGAATAAATCTAGAATGTCTCTAGTAAATTAATTTATGAATCAATAAAATAAATAAAAAGAATTAGACTAAGACATCTAAATTCTTAGAGATAGCAAAAAGGCATATAAATAAAAGATATTATTCAATTAAAAAACTTTAGATTAAATAGATTAAGATATTCATACTAAAAAAAAAGAAAATAAATCTTTCTCGAGATGTTTAGTGAGTTTTTATTATTAAATATTAAAAAATGGATAGGATGTTAGAGCAACAGGAATAGCATGGGTTATTTCCAAATTAATTTCTTTAAGTGAAAAATGCCATTATTCATCTATGCCTGATTATTTGGATTAAAAATCAAAAGAATACTTGCTTTAAGTATTTATTAATTATATATAAGAAAGCAACAATGTTATCGGATATTGAACAGTTAGAAAAAGAACTGAGTGAATCGTTTAAACAATATAAATAAGAACAATCCTTTGATAGTAGTTAGGCTATTATGTAATAAAGTTTATCTAATAATGATTCGTTGGAAGCTTTATCTTTGCCTTCTATATTTCCTTTTGATAGCCATAAATTATCTTCAATAGACTTATAGTTAGTACGACAAGAGGCAGCTAAAAGTTGTAGGAACAATTACTAATTAGAAAATTTAGGACCAATTACTGTAGGATTGTCTAATGAAGATATTGAAAATTTAGAGAATATGATAACAAAGCTTAACTAATAAAATTAGCCTGTTAATAATGGTACATTGATTTATAAAGAAACTCAAAAAAGAATTAAATAGTAAATTATGTAAAAAGGGCAAAATGATGTCTCATAAATTAATGATTAATCTGCTGTTCTAAAAGAATAAGCAATTCATTCTTACGATAAATGTAATACATAATTAAATAAAATTAAATTAAAAGTATCATTTTTTACTATATAAAGCTTCAACATCTAGAAGATGAATAAGTAATTAGAATAGTAAAAGAATTCGATTATAAGAACTATGGCAAAAGATTCAATATAGATCCAATTACAGTGATATCATGTCTTGTAGGAGGAGCTCGATGCGATAGAGAAATTGTGAAATATGGAATCAAAAAAATCCACTATGAATGAAATAGTATACTAAATATTTATATATCTCAGTAATTTTCTTTACTTATTTGTACATATTTTGTCTTTGTATCTGATCTGCTTGTATTAAATTATTAAGATATCTAAAATTACTATTGTGGTGACTTATTTAATGGCTACTATAAAGATTATATTTACAAGATAAATCATGTTCTATCTAAGGGGAGATTTATTAAATTGATTAGACTATCTTAGAGGTGATTTTTAATTATTTAACTGGTTTTAATAGAATGGTATCATGTTGTAAATTTTATCTCTATATTTGTCAATAAATTCCTTAAGCATTTGCCAGGATGGTCTTTCTTATTCATCAAACAATAATAATTATTTGATAAATTCAATCAAAATTTAAGAATATCCCATTTACTTAATTCGAATAAATTTTTATTCCAAAGAATGAGTTAAAACAATACCATCGACATAATCAAAACAATCATAGACTTCTTCCATTAAGATTACACTTAAAACTGTCAAGCCTAATGAATATATATCACTCTTATATGGATCATGAGTAGGCACCATTATTAATTCTTTATATTATTTCAATAGAATAGGAGATAAATATGATTTATCCTAACTTTGTATCATTTTTTAATATCCATTAAGTCCATCTTTGAACATACTACATTCACATAATTTAATGCATCCATTCTCATCTAAATAAAGTGTTGATGGTTTAATATCTCCATGAAATATATTTCTTTCACATAAATATGTACATGGGTCTATAATTTATTGTAAAAGAATCCAAATATGTCCTTCTTTGTAAGGTCTATTGTTAATTTTTCTAATACTAATCTCATTTGTCAAGTTTTCTTAATAATATTAAATAATTATGGCTATCTAACTCTAGTCTGAGCATATTTTTATTTGATCCTATTTGTGTACTGCAAGTATTTTTAATAAATTGGTTTATTCAAATGAATTTCTTTATCTGAGATGAGCTACTAGATTGGAGAATTCTTTTTCACTTTTAGTAAAATACTTCTTTAGACATATTAATTCATTAGTCTATTTGTTAATTTGATTTTTACTTAAATGTGTGTAAACAATTTAATTGTTCCAAATTAAGGATGTGTAGCTTCTCTTTCTTATGAGTATTATAAAAGAAATTATTTATACTCTTAGGTCTTTTCATTAATACTTTATTCTTATCCCATTAACGATAAAAAATTATTTATAAAATCAATTCCACAAATCTTCTATAGATTTTTATTTTTATTTTTTATTAGGTGGAGGGTTAAGCTAATTATTAGATTTGCTTGGTTTGATAATTAATTTATTTATAATCTCTTATTACTTGAGATTGGAAGTTTCTTATTAAAATTTTAGAACTGCCTTTTTTGGACTTGCTTCTTTATCTGAAAGTATTTTTTATAGCTTTTATAATTCTTAAGCTACAGTGGCTAGTGAATTTCCATTTGCAGGTTTTGTGAGTTAATTTAATATTAAATCAACAGATTCTAATTATTAAAGATAATGATACTTTTAGCTTATTCAGTAGTTGGATCATTTTCATATTTTTGAATCTAATCTTATAATGATACCAATTCTTTTTTTTATCTTTCTTATTCCATTCTACTTATCTTTAAATCAAGTTCTAACTTTTTGTTAATGTCAATTTAATTTTTTAATTCATACTGAGTTACAGCTTCAGAAGAATGATGATAAGAACCTTATTAAGGTAGTGTTTAAATATAACTATTTGATGAGGGATCAGCAACTAAAATCATTTTTGATGAAGGCATTTCAGCTAATAATAACTTTTATTTTGCATTATTAATAAATGAATTAGCTGGTAATTCTAAATTCATAGGGATTTCAATATCTTTTTATTTAAGAAGTTCCACCAATTATTTGATTCTAGAATCTTTTGTTTAGTTAATATCTTCTAATTCTTTTTACAATTTATCATATGCATCTAATTCTTCTTATAATTATAGGATTGTTTCATCTCTTTCATTTAATCTATTAGTTAATGCAATCATTATATCTCTTTATTTTAATAATAATTATTTGTATTTATCTGTTTAAGCTTTATCCTCTTCTATATTCTACCGTTCTTTTTCTAATTCTTGTAATTTCTCTTGATATTATTGACGTATTAATTTTTATTGTTTTTCTAGAGCATTCTAAAATTGAGGAGTTTCTTCTATTTTCTATCCTCCTACTAACATTTATGAATTTAAGGCTGATATCTTTTCTTCCAATTATTTTCTCATTTCTCTCTCTTAAACAAGATCTCTATTTCTTTATTCATATGCACTCATAACTTCTTACTTATCCTCTAAAGCCTTTTATCGTTCTTTTTCTAATTCAGATACCATAGAATCAATAGGTAATTTACTTCTTTCATCCAACTCTTATTTTAATTTCTAAATTTCTAATTAATATTTTCTAAGTAATGCTCCTTAATCTTAATCTTAATTAACCATAGGTGTATTTCTAATATTTTTAGCTCTATTTGCAAATTTCAAAGTTGATAAAGATTCATTGAATGCTTCAATAGCTGGTGATATCATAGCCATAAAAGTAGTTTTACAATTACCTCCTAGAGAATCTTCTAATAATCTAGTGATTTTAGAATCTCTATATGGAATATGTGATTTTGGTTATTTTAATTCAGTCAAAGCAGCAATAACATTTCCTAATGCAGATAATGATTAATTAATCTTTTTAGATTCTTCTAATCTTATACCAGTTGCTCCAGTGACTCTAACTCTTTCACTTCCTGCTAAATCTACTAAATTTAATTTTCCAACTCTTGCTCTCTTTCCTTCTGGTGTTTCTTCAATTTATTCAACAGTTATAATAAAAACTGCATGACTACGTGATGATGTATCATTCATTCTTGTACTTGCTGTTACTCTTTTTGCATTACCTCTTCTCATCAATTAATATATTTCTGGAGGAGAACGTACTGCCCATTCTGATAAATTCTCAACAAAAACACCTCTCTTTTTATCTTCTCTAATATTTAATTACTAATTATCAGGTCTTAGAAGATCACTTATAGATTCATTGTAAATTTATAAATATGATGCTCTCACCATAAAAGTTGTCATTGAATTAGATTTCATTTATATATGTGTAAAGATATTATGCAATGATCTTGGAATGATACCCAATTAATCTGAATTTGGAGTAAAAGAAAAACCATGCATTGTATATGTTTTTCCAGTTCCTGTTTATCCATAAGCTATAATTGTTGAATTATATCCCTTTTGAATACTTATTAATTTTATACTTATAGTGTTGAATCAACTGACAAGGCAGCAGTGGTTTCATAGACTTCTACTTAAGTGCTTTCTTAATCATATACATAATCAAATGTAAATTAATGAATGGTATAATTAGCTGGATTTTATACAAATGCTTCTAATTCCTCATCTGGCACTAACTCAATTGCATGATAATCAAAAATGCAAAGTTATTGATTATCTGGAGCTGCTTATACCTTTTAAAATATTCAATCATAATTATACTGTTGATATGAATTTACCATCCTTAATCTCTCTTGCCATAGGAGGACGAACTCTAATTACAACTCTAAGATTCTCATTTGATCCTTCTTTCTCTTTCTATTTCATTAATATTAATGTTGTATTTACTTTTAAACATAGCTTTTGCAAATATATTAGATAATGTTTTTGCTAACTTTGATGCCCCATATGTTCATATACCAAATGATTTTCATGTTGTATTAGGCACATAAAGAACAAGTAGTCCAAATACATTGAGTGTAGATTATTCTACAAAATTTACAAGTTCTCATATTATATTATCAGTTGATAAAATTGGAGAAGTTGCTAATGCTTATGTCAATCTTACTACAAATAAGGTATATTTAAATTATTACCATTCATTTCCACCTTAAATGAAATGTTAAATATTCAATGGTCCCAATATTTCTAATAAATTGTAGCTACAATCTGGAAATAATGCATTTATATTAGAGCCTGATATTGTTTTTCATTTGATGAGTCTCTATATGGGTACAGGAGATGATGATCTAGCAAGATTTGAAATAAGTTCACTTTTATAAGGAAAAAACAAAGCATATGCATTATTCGATAAATAAGGAAATCTAGATTCTATAGAAATAGATTTGGAATCTAAAAGATAAATAAAATTCTATGTGATAGAGGATTTAGTTGAAAAGAAGTTTTCTAAAGAGGATTTTCAAGTGCCTTGGGAATGTTAAGAATCAGATGTAAATTTGAGTGATATTATTGAAAAATTGATGTTATTATTAAAGTGAAATAAAATGAATATTAGTACAAAAACTATGAAATCTCTGTAATAAAGTACTTACAAACATCAAATATTGTCTGATGTATTCTCTGATATCAACTTCTATAAATATCGCAGTTAATCAAATACTGATTAATATACACCTTTAAAGGGATTTCAGATTGTTAAATTAAGAGGTCCTTCTCGATTATCAGTCTAATAATCATAATAATCTATTAAGAGTGTTAAGAGTATTAAAAAAAGAAATAATTCTCAAAGCAATGTCAGATATGATCTTTTCAAACATGTTATGGAAATGGATGATAGTGAAATGCATGAAAAACTTATGAATCTTTTTGAAATTGATTTAAAAATGCGAAAGAATTTAGAAATAAACAGAATGATAGTATAAGATAAATAATAAACATCAGCATAATTGGATGAGATATATTAAGACATATTATTAATGTTAAGTAATACTATCGAAAGAATACATCAATATATTAATGCAAATAATCTCGAACGTTCAAACTTAAAAAAGGCACATCGTAGAACTGCCATTGAAATTGAACATTAATTACAAGAATTCATCAATATGATGTTAACTGCTATTGCACAAAGAGATATGACTTTGGCAAGATTAATTGAAAATGCTTGGAAATTAATATCTGTTGCAATAGAAATGATATTATAAAATGGGAAAGCAGAATAAGAATATATTCAATAAGAAGTATTAAATGAATTATAATAAGAAGTTGTATAATTAAAATAAGAGAATGAAGATATATATCATAAATATATGGAAGTCTCTGAATTAAATAATAAATTAACTCATTAGCATAAATAAGAAATCAATAATCTAACTTATTAATTAAATATGGCAAAAGTTGAATTTAATGATTATAAATAAAATTAAGAAGCATAAAGTACTTTAGAAAATGCTACTGGAAGTCTAAAAGATGTAGAATTAAATTTAAAAGATACTCATAAGATATTAAATAAAATTGAAGAGAATATTAGTAATAGAGATACATAATTATATTAAACATTAAAGTCTGTTGTCTAATAACATAAAATGGATAAGGATAGTTAAATGAATAAAGCATAAAAGTTAATAAATAGATATTAATTAAAATCATTAAACACTAAATAATGTATAATTGCTTCAGAATATTTCAATCATCCATTTGTATAGTATTTGGATATTAATTTTGAAATAAAATAATAAGATGAAAAACTTCTATAATAATTACTTATTGATTGGTTTAATTAAGAATGTGGGAAACCTTAATTTGGTACTCATCCAGCTTAATAAAGATTAGAATAAATAAGTTCTTATGAAAGAAGAAGTAATGCAGAAAGTTTTATAAATTTTTTAATTAAAAATGATAATCTTAATCAATTATAAAATTGTATTGCTTATATAAGTTAAAATTTAGAAATGGGTGATTTAAATTAATTAAATAAAATGGACAAATTTAATAGATAATTGTGTATATTTTTTGGTACAATATTTTAATTTGATATAACCAATATTGAAATTGATTTATTGACTTATGATAGGATTAGATTTTTGTATTCAGGTCTTATGTAAGGAAATTAAGAAGAATAAATATAAAATTAAAATAAATTTTAATGGTATAATTTTGTTGTTTAAAATTTGAGTGATTTATGTGCATCAATTTTTATGGATTATTCAGAAAAAGTATCAAATTCATAATAAACAATTGTTTAAATCTTAGTTTATATAATATAAAGTGAAAGTGATAAACGAAAGCATTAATTAAAAAAATTAATTGAGGATTTCAAAACTGTAGATATTGAATTAAATTTATAAAGAGAAAGAATGTATAAATTTGTCAAAGAATTATGTTCATTCTATAATTATCAATACAATGAATTAAATGTAATGTAATATGCATAAGCTTTATTTGATCGTTATATTCGAGTTTATCAAACTGGAAGAAAGAGAAATGGTTTAGAAATTGGAGAATGGATTAGTTTTATTTAAGAATTATAGTAAATATTGAATAAATTGATATTAATTAAACCCCATTTACATCATTAAATCTTTATGCTTGAAGATTTACAATATGTAAATAAGGAATTTTAAGTGAATACTAGAAATTCATAAATTGAAAGACGAGAATCTTAAATAAGAAAAAAATGAATTAACTATTTAAACAATTAAATATTATAATATTAATTTCATTTCATTTTTTTAAATGGCTTAAAACGGAAATAATAATATCCACCACTTATTAAACCTATTAGAATGACAATTCCACTTGTAAATGAAATTATAGAAAAACTATTTTTTTATTTTAATTATTAAATTTGGACTTCCGAATACCCAAAAGTTCTTAAATAATAATATTATATTTTACTATGAATTCAAAACTTCTATTATTTTGTAAACTTAATTCCACACTGAAATTTTATCATCAAAAAAACTAATAGGAATAAGTTAAACTGTTTAAAAACTACAAGATGGTTCAATCATTAAGAAATCAATTATACTCAATCTCCTTTTTTCAATTTGTTATTCTGCTTATAATTCATCATAAATGCTTATCACATAAGTCTTAGAGTTTATTGTTGTTATTCTGGGTGATATATTATTGAATTATCCTTCTAAGATTTTCTAAATAACATAAAAAATTAATTACTTGTTTATTTTTAGTAATAATAGCTATATGAAAAACTCTTCTTTCTATTATTTTTTAGACAGAAGACCATGAGTCTTTTTTATTTTATTCTTTGAATGCATCTGACATTTTAATATCAATTCCAATGTAACTTAATAATTTATAAGCATCTTTGTAATTAAAAAAAGAAAATGCACTAAAATAAAATAAAATTTTAATAATACTTCCACAATGCCAACCATTAAGTTAAATTAATATCTTATGATTGTGGGTGATATTATTACAGAAGTGGAAAACTAGTTTAATACATTACTGGATAGAATATATAATCAAATTAAGCTTATGTAAGAGTTTATCCATATAATTAAAATATTGATTTCAGTTTTTATTAAGCAATATCACTTAATTCAACAGTTTATCCAGCTTCTTAATCAAATATTAATCTAAAATTTAAAGTATATTAAATACTCATCTTAAAATAGAGATTCATCTAATGTTAAATCATCTTTATAATAAAAAAAACGAAGAATAGTCCAACTTATTTAAACCTTCATCAATTCAATCCCTCTCTTTTGTAGAGTCATAAAACCTTACAAAGTAATATAATTTTTTTTATTTGAATCATCTTTCAATTCCTCTTCAATCATATCCTTAATTCCTGCAATATCACTTTAATCAAGATGCCTTTTAAAAACCTTTTTTTAAAATCTTTCTAACTCTTGGTCACTCCATACACCATCCCCATCTCGATCACAAATTCTAAATATACGAGTTAATGCTTTTTTGAATCCTTCTGTAATTGTTTTGTTTACTAAACTATACAGAGGAGCTAAAGGGTATAAATAAGATCTTTAAGCACAATTGATTACATCCTAAATACCCTAAAACTTTATTGATGAACATTCAATTCCCATTTCAACTTACTATATTAGATAGATGTATTACACTGAAATCTTTTACCAATTGTTTAATGACTTTAAAAATTCTGCAATAATCTCTATCATCCTCTACACCCATCAAATCTAGTTTATTGCCTACTATAATGATTGGCTATTTAAACTCCTTTTCTTTCAATTCTTTAAGCCAGAACTTCTTTAATCTCTCACATGAACCATCATCATCTATTGAGTACATTAAGAGTATGACATCTGCAATTTTAACTTATTCTGGAATTTAGTTAAGTTAACATTTTGTATCAATCAATGTTGTATTGCATTCTGGATGATTAAACATTTCAGGAGGTAATTGAATTGGTTAATGTTAATTCACATGAGTAACCTTATTAAGGCTTTCATTAATCAGAGCTGAAATGAATGTTGATTTGCCAACTCCACCTAAGATTAATGATTAAATAAAATATTAATACTATCACCAATAACAACAACTTTAAAATCTCTTTTCTTCATTTTAGTGATTGTTGAATTATATATATATATTAATTTTAATGAATTTGGAATACCCATGGGATGTGTAGAAAATTAAATTTAAGAATATTTAGGTTTTTCGAAGTCATTAAAAAGAGGTAATTTGATAGCATAAAATCACATAGAAATATATACTAATTGGTAATCATACGCTATCATAATAATTTTGCATTCTACATCTAAATATTCTTAAAGGACCAGATCTTTATTAAAAAGAACTTAAACAATACATATATGAAGAAGAACGTTAATTTGAGACATTAGAGGATGCTAAACAATACTTAAATAAATATAATTTAACTTATCTCTATACAGTATCAGGAATAATAGGATTTATAAAATTAGTATAAGGATATTATGTAATGTTCATTAAGAGACGTAAATCAATAGCTAAATTGGGCAAACACAAAATATTTACAATTGAAGAAAGATCAATAGTGGAATTATTTGATGGACCATATTCATAAATCGAATCAAAATATAAAAAATTATTATAGGATTATGATCTAGAAATAGGTTTCTATAGTAGTTATACTTATGATGCTACGAGTTCCTTATCAAAGAATATAATTCCATCTGAAGATGTTCAAAACAAGAATCAAAAATATCATTAAATAGGATAATACAGAAATTTATTTATGTGGAATCATTACTTATTAGCTGAATTTGATAAAATAATTAAAGATAAAAGATGGGTGATTCCAATTATTCATGGTTATTGTGAATAAAGTACAATAAAAACAGTTGCTAATTATTTTAGTATTACTTTATTAGCTAGAAGATCTACTAAACATGCTGGTGCTCGTTATTTAACTAGAGGTATAAATGAATAAGGTTATGTTGCAAATTTTGTAGAAACAGAACAAATTGTAATTGAATTAGATAAATCAACATGTTAAAGACCTGCTTGTTCTTCATTTATATAAATAAGAGGTTCTGCTCCTGTTTATTGGTAT